CACCAGCCTGAAGGGTAAGTTCAAAGGCAGGGGCTCTGTCTGCCTATACCATCACCATGCACCATTGGCACCCCATGGGTATTCACTACAGGAATTCAAGACTTTAGGACAACAGCTAGCAGTGGCAGAGCCCTGAGGGAGAGCCACATCCTGTTCTCTGAGCTTCTGTGCACTCATTTCATCCTTGCCAATGAGGCAGGTGTTAGGATTACCATTCCCAGTAAGCTCAGCAGGATAAAAGGCACTTACCCAAGTTAACAAGTCACCAAGGTGAAGGATAGGAGCAGAAGTCTCTGTGTGGCTTTAGATCACCACACAGAGCTTTCTGTTCAGTGACCGTCTTCCCTGAGTCCACTCTGGGAGGCAGATCTCAGGTTGGAGCCCCAACCCAGGGCATGGAGGCACAATACCATCTTCACCAGCCAGCCAGTGACCAGAGGTAACAAATGGCTTTGGCAACTTGATCATGGGCCCAGGCAGACAGCTCACCAGGAAAAACAGCAGCCCACATGTGGCACAAGCCTTTCTTATTTGCTTTGCATCTTGTTCCCATTTGGCAGAACGAGCCAGGGCTGCCAGGGCTGCACTTTCTCTACTTAATGGTTAAAATTTTTTAAAGCATGATTCTCTGCTTTGCTTGGCACTGCCTGGAACATACCTCTGATGCAGCAGGTAACTGGATAGGGTCTTGGTTACAGCAATTTGCTGAACACAAGGTTTTATGCTCAAAAACGCATTATAGCACTCAGAGGGTATCACTCAGGGGTTTTGGGTACCAGAAAGGAGACTGGGGGGCCCAGTAGAGGGGAGACATGTTGGTGATTCAGGAGTCCACAAAGTGCTCAGCAAGGAGGACCACAGGGCTCACCCCAACATGAAGACTCAGCCTAGGCCAGAAGATGAGAACCCAAGCAGTGACAGCACTGGGGCAGGGGTTAGATCTACCCTCACTCCCCTGGCTGTGTGACCTTATAAAAGTCAGTTAACCTCCCTGAGCCTCAGTTCCCTCAAGTGCAAAATGAACAGGGTAAGAGGACTTAACTCCTAGGGCTCCTGCAGAATGCATGCTGCAAGTCAACACTTTGTTCTCCGGGACTGGAGCAGTATCTGTAGTAGGAACCTAATAAATTTAGTTAAGTAAACTTAAATTGTGCTCAGCCAAATCCCCACTGCGTACAATTGTGCATGGCAGGTACTAGGTGCTAAAATCATATTTGTTGAATTGGCTTAATTGTTCACAGCTGTACCAACCCTAAGACAAGACATGGTATAAATGACTTAATATAAAATATTTAGCATATGACATGGGATGTAGTGTTTGATTTATATTAGCTCTTGTTCTTTGCTCATGCAACAAATGTGCATTGAGGGCCCATATGTGGTATTACCTGACACCAATTCTTAACTCTCCAACACCAGCTGGGTCTCCAAAACTTCAGCCTCATTCTGATGCCGTGTGGCTGGCCAGAGTTAGTGTCAGAGTCCACAGGTTTAGGGCTCAGTCCTGTAAGACTGCCCCACTTAGACACCAGCCACAAGTGGGATCCTCGGGCCACCCACATTTCTGCCAGGCAACTACGACTTCCCTCCGTCCAAGTATAACTCAATAAGACACTCACAGAACTCAGGAAATGCTTTGCTGGCAATAGACTTATACTTGGTTTGTTATAAAGGACACAGTTTAGGATACATGCAGAGGGGTGGGAGGGATACTTGGCTTTCATTCCCTGTCTGGGCACACTGCCCACCCGACACCTCCACATGTTCAACACACTCCAAATATCTTTGTTCCACAGATTTTATATTCCATTCTCCCCCTTCCTTTCCTAAGTTCAGGGTGGGCTGAAAGTTTCATCTCTCTAATTCTGGTTTTGGGCTTCCAGGTCACTAGCCCCATTATGAAGCAATCTAGGACCCCACCTGGATCACCTCATTAGCATAAACTCTGGTGTTAAAAAGCCTTGTTATGAAAAACAAAACACACTCCTATCACCATAGAAATTCCAAGGGTTGTAGGAGCATTGTGCCCAGAACTGGGGACAAAACAGAAATGTATTTCTCTCTGCAAGACTTTGCAGGAATGATGCTGCAAGATTCCAGGTGGAATCAAAGGGAAGTTCCTGGCAGTGGCCGGTTCCCAAGCAATCAGTGTCACTAATTTTAGATGAGTTCTCCAGTCTGGTTATCCATCTCTCAGCTTAGCCATACCTGATCTCAACTTTTTCAGTTACCACTAAGTCTCCAGTTTCCAGTAATGTCTACAGTGCTCAAGTCCCACAGGAAATAAAATACATTTATGTTCAGGGACACATGTAAGTATTAACCTTGAGCTAACAGAAGACTCCCTGTACCTCAAATGTTTCTAACCTGAGGTGCAGAGAGATGTGCTACTGAAGGGATCAGTGACAAAATTCTACAGAAGAGGAGATAAAGAGCTTCACACTTCAAAGATGATGAATCAGAGATCCTCAAATACTCGGCACAAGGGCACTCTCACCCATTCCTGTGCCCCTGGCAGACATTGCTATTCAATCACCACCCACTTTCCTTCAGCCCTCCAGACCATCATAATCGATCAATCACACACAGCACTTGAAGTGAGACATCGACCTTCTGCTGGGAGTTGTCTCTTCCATAGGAGATAGATCTCAAGAAAAACTACAAAGAGTCAAAGATCATCCTTGGAAATTTTCTTAAATCTCAAAGCAGAGGAATAGCTCACACTCTTTATGAGTCCAATCAGGCCATTTTCCTCCCACTCTGCCATAAATTACTGTGTCATCGGCTGAGCACAGAAACATGGATTTAACTGAGGTTGAGCTGTGTGCAAAGACCAGACTTTAAAAGTTAGAATGCCATACATAGTGAGACCCTGTCTCAAAAACAAGTTAGAATCCCTAAGGGCTGTGGGAGAGGCAACAGGGGCTGAGTTCTACTGAAGATCAGCAGAAACAGCACCTCATTTTCTCTTATCTACTCCCAGGTAAGCGCATACTAATTGTGTGTCCAGGTAAGCTGTTCATTTTCTCATCTGCAACCCGCAAGCACACAATGGAGAGTACAGAATGTACATGAATTAAATGCCCATATCATGCAAGTCCATTTAATTTGCTATCCGCACAATGGACACTTGTCCCAGGAAATACCAGAGAAAAGAAGATGAAACTAATATCTTATGAACACTGACAAGGCACATGTTGCTTCTTTTAAAAGCTCCATAACCTTGTGAAGTAGAGATTCATTAACACTCGGTAAATGTTTATCAGTTTTAGAAAGAGAAATCCACAAATCAGATGCCCTTTTGAGTAATTCCCCATAGTACATGACTTGGTAAGGAGCTACGCCCATCTTCCATTCAGATATGGAAAGTGCCAGCTACTCAGATTTCTAGGCTCCCTTGCAGCTAAGGTATCAGCATGTGAGTTGAATTGTCTTGGGAAGCCAGACATACCTCTCAAGGCATAGGCTGTACTTGGTGAGGGGCAGATGGAAGCAGTGACCATAAGCAGTGGGAACATTGAATTTACAGGGCAGTCCAAGAGAGCCAAACAATGAAACCCACAAATCAATAAAGTCAGACAACTACCAGGAAAATAGGCAATCAAAATGAGTTTAAAATTCACAGAAAGGGATAGAAAATGGCCAGTAAGCTTGCAAAGAAATGACAATAGCATTGGCACATAGGAAAGGGGAATAAAGATCACTTGGTCACCTTCTCATCACTGAGACATAATAGGCAACATCCATACTTTAAAGGAAGAGGCTTATTTTGGCTCACAGTTACAGACCATGATCAGCCAGCTCCCAGGCATAAACAGGATGGCAAAGAGGCACAGGAGGGGGCAAAATTGCTTATGTCATTCATGGTGGCCAGGAAATGGAGAGAAGGAAGGAGCTGGGGAGGGAGATGTACCTTTCCAGGTCATGTGCCCAATAACACACCAGAACCCACCTCCCAAGTCAGCTAGATCACCTCCATGATTCAATCACCTTCCAAAAGCCCTGCCTATAGACACATGAGTCCTTTGGGGAACATGCTTGATCTGAACCATAACATTCTGCCACTGGCCCCCAAAAGACTCATATGCATCTTTTTATGCAAAGTGCTCTAACAGTCTCCAAAGTCTCAACAGTTCCAGCATTGTTTAAAAAAAAAAGTCCAGGTATCCTCTGAGGCTCAAAGAAATCTCTTAGCTATGAGCCTCTATCAAATCAAAAGGAAAGTTGAACTCTGCCAACATACAAAGATGCAAGATAAACATTCCCATTTCAAAAGGGAATATAGAGGAAAATAGAGGGAAAGAAAGGAATGAAACCAAAACAAGACTAAAACACAGTAGGGCAAATATTAAATCTTGTAGTTCCACAGTCAGCACCCAGGCAAGATGTTGTACTGAGATGTGAGCTCTAAAGGGCTTGAACAGACCCACTTCTACAGCACTGCTGGTTGTAGCTCTCATGGACTCTCTCTGGGGCTGGCTTTGTTCATTGCCTGTAGCTTTCCTCACATGTCCCATTTCTGGCTTCTCCAACTTCCTGGGATCTCCACTGCATTTTGGCTTTACTGCCATAGTTTCACATATTGCCTTCTCAGCAGCACACTGCCTGGTCTCCCAGGCCTTCTTCTGAAATCTAAGTGGAAACCCAACTCTTGCATTCTGCATGCCTGTAAAATTAGTACCACATGGATTATACCAAGATCTGCTACCAGCTTAACAGTAGCTTAGGTCCTCTTGGTTCATGACTACAGAGGACTCTGAGTGCCCAGACGGCAAAGCACTATGAAATGAATCCCAGGGAACTGATTCCCCAGTTGTTTTGTTTTGTTGTTTCAAACAATTCACAGAAAGGGGTAGTACCTGTCCTGGGGCTCTCTTCTCAAAGAAAAGTCTTTGAGCCTCAGTCCCAAAAAATGAAAAGTCTTATTTTTGTTCCTCTTCATCTGCTAAAGTTTAGGTCTTTCTGATTCCTCAGATGCCCTCAAGGAATCTTTTTTCTCATGTCAGATGGGTAATTCACCAACCTTGTAACAATGTTTGAAGGAGACACATCACAAATGGCATGAACACCCAATCATCATGCTCATGAACTGAAGGATCAAGGCAACTTTTCTATTTTCCTTTCTATTTTAAAATATTTGGCTTCTTTTTAATGCTAATCTTTTCAACAACCAAACTCTCTTGGCCAAATTTTACAGGCTCCAACTTTACAGCCCCCACAGGCTCCAATTTTACAGAAGCTTCCCTTCTGGCCACCAACAAAATTTTTCATCATTATTCAGCTCTACTTTTGGTCCCCCTTCTTATGGTAGATATAGCTAAAAGCCACCAGCAGTACCCATGCCACAGCCTCAGCATTGGGCTGCCTTGAATTTCTTTCTCTTTTTTTTTGTACAGGAGATCCAACTCAGAACCTTGTGCTTGCCAGGTAGGTGGCAGAACCACTGAGCTAAATCCCCAGCCACTGCTACCCTTAATCTCAGTCTCCCTCAAAGTCTCAGGACATGTCTTTGACAGGTAAATTTGTTGTCAAAGTATAAATATGGCCTTGAGTCCAACTGCCAATGGAATCCTTGTTCCCAACTGAAATCTCCCAAGCCTAGTTTTTACTATTCACATTTCTATCAGTATTCTGGTCTTCTGAGCTCTGAAGAGATTCTCCAAATCAAGCTTGGCTTACAATATTCTGGGGCTTCTTTGACCACATCTCCAAACCTTTCCTTATTCACCTCACATGCCAGTTCCAAAGGCTTTTGAACCATATGGTCAGGTACAGTCATAGCAATGACCACAAAATCTGTCTTAGATCTGCAACCAGTTCAAGCTAAGATGGGAAGGTTTTTTACATAACATTAAGGTTGGAACAGTGTTAAATTCTGGATGGCATGAAATGGCATCTCCTTCTAGTTTTATAGAAAAAAATGTTCAATATGTAATAAAGCCAAAAATACACATAACCTACATTCTGCAGGGTTTTTTTTGTTTGTTTGTTTGTTTTTTGTTTTTTAGGTATATTGAAATCCAGAGTTCAAACCCCTATATGTAGAATGAAGATACTGATCCTCTCAGGCCTCAGGGACCAATAGAGGGAAGAGAGACTCTGGAGTAGCTTGGTCCCCCAGCTGCCAATACAAGCAACTCAAGAACTTTCACACCCATCTCTGTTCACTCAGTGTGATACACACATCATTTTTACATGGCATAGTGTGCAAAATAGGGAATTAATGCTGTGTGTGCATAAAGAGAGATGTGCAAAGATGTTCATTACAGCATTTTTATAATAGGGGAATACTGGAAAGAATTTACTTGTCCATAATGAATACCATTATGAGCTTCTCCAATTTCCCTTTGGCTCAAAGGTACTCATTCCTCCATCTCCCAAGAGTGTTGGCTGCTTATAACTCATAGCTAAGCCTTCACTAGAAGACTGCCACCTTTCCTAAGGTGACACACTCTCAGTACAGTAGGACAAAGGCCCAGACCTTTGGCCTTTACACAAAGAACTCAGAAGGGCTCTCCCTAGCTGCAAAGTGCTCCATAGGATCACCTGAGGTCCCTAGTAAGACTCCTGCTGGACAGTCATCAATAAAGACTCATCACTGGTGGTAGGTAGAGTAAAAAAGCACTTGGCATGTGGTGGTACGATAGTTAAAGTCTTCACTAGGGATAAGCTGGAGTGGGATAAGGGTGGAGGAGAACACACCAACTAGTAGAATTGCTCAGGCATTCAAGTGGTACTATGGATAGGTATCAATGAACACTGTCAATGCATGAGAGAAAGGCTATGCAAGGCCGAAGGTGGTGAATTCACAATTGAAAGGGAAATACAGTACAAGACTCATCTCTTATAGCAAGAGGACATAAAAAGCTCAGGGTCAAGCTCAGCTTAATTATAAAACTAGCAGCATTCCAATGAAAGTTGAAGTTTTAACCCCAACGAATCTGCTTGTGCCAGATTCCTGTGGTTGAGAAAAAGGGGACCCTGATACTTGAGATGGAGTCAGTATGTCCAAGAATCTTGAAACCTTGAGCCTCCTGAACTATTTGGCCCTGAAATAATGACCTCTTTTATGTTTTTAAATTAATTTTAGATACACGTAATAATAATATTCATTATAGGGATTTGTACCTGTACATGATATATTTGATTCTTTTTTTTTCCCATTCCCCTGCCTTCACTCCCTCTTCTCCTCATTTACAAAAGCTTTATTTCCATTTTTTTCCTTCTAGCCTCTTTTTTTTCATTTCCCTTTCTTTCTTTTCCCTTCTCTCCTCCCAGTTCCCCTTCTCATTTGAACATTTTTCTTCTCTTTCTACCAAATCTATTATACATTCTGGTCCTTATTTACCCATTTGGTGTCTCACACCAGAGAAACAACGTGATGTTTAAACATGTGTGCTCAATTCACTTAAGAGTATGCTAAGGACCTCTTTTAGTGTCTCTTCCTTGCTCGCAAATGGATAAAAACCTCTACTTTGTAAGGTCACACATGCCCCTTCAGGATTTATCCAGACTGTCCCCCTTACCACCACAGCATAACTAGGGTCAAGTCACCAGCTGACCAGGGTGCTGGGCCTACAGAGTGAGGGGAATCACTATCCCCTGAAGGAGCCTGGAGAAGATATGCAGAATTGGACCCTGAAGATTCTGAATTAAGGGAGTTGGAGAAAAGAGACTGTGAGGTCAGATAATGGACAGTGCATTGGTATGGGAGCCCTCTGCCATGGCCAAATTTAACACCCTGGCAAAGGGCATGCGAGATGGACTAACACAGGACTAGAATGGGTCTTTTTTTTTCTTTTTATTGAGTTTATTGGTACAATCTAGGTCTAAGGTACAGTTACATTCATTACTGGGATCCTGTACCTTCACATGACAGTTCTTGGTTCTTGTTTTTTTCCCCTTGTCCCTGCCTTTCCTTCACCCCCTCCTCCCCTCCCCATTTACAAACTCTTTATTTCCATTTTTTCATTTTCTCATATATTTTCTTTTCCCTTATTTCCTTTCCCCTACCCTTCCCACTTTCCCTACACATTTAGCCCTTTTCTTCCTATTTCACACTCTTAATTATCCCATTAGGATCTTATGTACTATTATAGTTTTTCACACTAGAGAAACTATTCGGTGTTTACACATGTGTGACTTATTTATTTCATTTAAGAGTATATCCTCAATATGTATCCATTTTCCTATGAATGACTCTAATTTCTCATTCTTTATGGCTGAGTAGTATTCCATTTTATAGAAAAACCACATCTTCTTTATCCAGTTTCCAACAAATGGGAAGATGGGCTGTTTCCAAGTTTTAGATATTACAAACTGTGCAGCTATAAACATTGGTGCACATATATCTCTGTGGTATGATTCTTTTAAATCTTTTGTAAAGACACCCAGCAGAGGGGTGGCTGGGTCAAATGGAACCTCTAGACCTAGCTCTTTGAGGTATCTCCATATTGATTTCCATAGTGGTTGCACCAGTCTGCACTCCTACCAACAGTGGAGAAGGGTTCCTTTCTCCCCACAACCCTGCCAACATTTGTTATTATGTGATTTCTTGATAGCAGCCATTCTTTGTGGGGTGAGGCGGAATCTCAGTGTTGTTTTCATCTGCATCTCTCAAATGACCAGTGATGTTGAACATTTTTTCATATATTTACTTGCTGCTTTTACTTCTTTGTCTGAGAAATGTCTGCTCATTTCAGATGCCCTAGAATGGGTCTTGAGACTTTAGGTGGCCGTAAGGATACAGTGAGGTCCTGTGCAGCGTGCTAGGCATGGTGTCTGCAACCTCTCTGACTTTCCATGTTGTCAGTCTCCAAGTCACCAGGGAGAAAGCTCCAGAGCCTTCCGCCAGGTGCTCTGCCCAAGAAAAAGTCACTCTTTGGGGAATCAGAGAAAAGGAGGCCCTCCTTCCTAGGCAGTCCCTAGATTTCTCACTCGTCAACCAGGAGGGGATAAAAGAGATCTTTAATTGATACCACTAAGACTTTTCCAGGCAGAAAGACACAGAACTGCTAAATTAAAGGTAGATTTCTCTGCAGGAGGGGTAGCTGTCCTGGAGTCAGGGCCCAGCTGCTGGGACATTTTCTGGGATTGTGGCCAGGGTAAAAGGGGAATGAACATGCACCCCAACTTACCTAAGCATCCTTGGGTTAGCTATCTGATGGGCACCTTATGAATGGGTGGTGGTGCCAGCATTATGTGGCAGTATCTCCAGATTCAACTTGGCATGCTAGTTCACTATAATGGGGCCCCTGGGAACAAGACAGACTCCTGGAGAGGCCACATCAGCAAGCAGACAGGCAGGGCTGTGGGATTTGGGTAGAACATCAATACAACAAGGCAGGCTGCTCCCCAGGGCAAGTACTGAGCAGAGGACCCACTGAGAGGTCTCAGTGCACAGTAAGACCATAGCTGCAACTCTGCCTGCTGAGTGAACTCTGGCCTGAAGACAAACTTGAAAACCTAATCACTTTTTATTGTACTAGGTCCCAGCTCTTAAAGTATTTCCGTTTTGGGGACCAAGCCTCCATTACATGAATCCTTGGGGGACAAACCACATCAAACCAGAGTAGTTTGTTTCCCATGGAAACATTGTAAGGGCAGCCACATACCTCAGGATCTAGACACTCAGCAGTGATATAGTCCGGCCTCCTTGAGGTTTTAGTCAAGTGATGCTGCTATAGACCTGAGACCCAACTCGTGGTCATAGGTGGACCTATGCTCTGGGCCTAGTGGGAGTAGATCTAAGCTGGATGGTCTGACCTAAAGGGAAGTCAGGCTCTCACAGACCAAACCCAGGCAGATTCCAGATCAAATTCTAATTTTTCAGAGTAGAAATAATGAGCCAAAATTCTATCTGGGGCTCTAATGAAATCATTAATTCTGGTAAGAATTATCAATTAATGTGTTAAAACCATGTTTGAGTCCATCCCATCAGCCATAACAAAGTACTTTAGATCAGATAATTTATAAGCAAAGGATCTATTGCTCACAGTTTGAGAGACTGGGTAGTCCAAGATCATTGCACCAGCAGTCAGTGTCTGATGCAGGTCTATTCCTCATGGGTGGCACCTTCTTGCTGTTTCCTCACATGGT